TCCGATCGTTTGTCCTAAAGTCAGGCATGAATTCCTCCAAGCCACACCTGCTTTAGAATGGCCACAATCGTCTGACAGACCATAACAATTAAAAATCTCATTTATCATTTAAAGTTACAAACAATCAGTGCTTTGGTGTGTTCATGTACCACACGTATATCCAGGACAAACGTGAAGCAAGACTAAAGGGTTGGTATCACTACCGCGTCCAGTTAGTATCCACATAAGTCATTCCTGAAGTGGGCCTATAAAGGACATACCAGGTTCGACTTTATATAACTGACGATGCAAATTTAAACATACGCTGATTTCTTCATTCTTAAGATCCATTTTTAACTTTTGTTGGTGAATCCGCTGATGGACCAAACCATGCACAGCTCAAAAACCGTGCGCCAGGCAACTTTGCTACGCTAAGGAACCGAGAATCAAGGTAAAAGCGTGACCGTCAATTTACTTTAAGCATACCTTTTGTCATGTAGAGTACCCTAGCTCTTGCAGTCCTTTTGGAAGCCATATGCTACTGCCTTTTTAATGAATAGCACAGTTAATTTGGAGTCCTACAATTCACCAACCTTCCCCTTCTTCGTTAGTCGATTTTCAACCGCCTATCAAATGTATTCCATAGTTCACGTCATTTTTGCCGAATAGTCTTTGGACCAATAGAAGTCAAGCATGGATGACAAGTTTTCTGCACAAGCACGAATCTCGGCGATATAAACGCAACGTCAATTTGAAATGTCTCCAGGTTTGAAGTTTGCGGTATTATTGAATGCGTTTGAACACTTCTGCCAGGAGAACATACAATTAACAAATCTGGACTCACTTAAAAAAAACCTGTTATTGTGCATTCAATTGAGTTGCACACTCTCACACACCGTCGCTAAGAGTGCTAGATTGCACAAAGTTAAGAAACGACCTACTCTTAAATGAACTTTGTCTAGTCATTTATGTCATCAACGTACATCACACTATTGAGATGTCTGCAATGTGCATTCGCCGCTCTTCAGCTGTGACACACCGCCGATAGGCTACTCAAATTTGACCTAGTCGAGAAATGAAAAGATGATCTCCACACAACCTTTTTTTTCGAATTACGCGCTTAAATGAGTGGCAGGTTAGTACAAATAAAGCGACACCGCAGCCTGGAGTAAGTCACCTTACTCCATTGGCGTGGAAGTGCCTCACTATAAGTATTCCAAATAGTTGACGCAGCACGTCTGATTTTGTTCAACCCCTATCCAATTTTAATTCACTTAATTTCGTAATCAAAGTACAATCAGATGAAGGGTTAGCGATCACTTATTGAATAATTTTGAAGCTAATTACATTATATGTCATTTGAATTACGTAGGTATTCACTGTGAATAAAAAGGCAGAGGCATTTCAGTGTTCAGACTTGCACTCAGATTTTTTTTGATAACTTAATTGTACTTTAAGTTCCGTATTGACACAAATGACTTCATAAGAGGAAGTCATTTTTGACGCCAAATCTTTGTGGGCTGCAGAACCGAACAAGCCAAAATTTTGGCAATTAAATTGTGACCACTGCAGTGTCAATTAACATCGAAGGGGAGTCGAACTTCTGATCAAGCTGGTCTTGCATTTTTGAACTGCCACTTGGTGATTTTCCTCCATGTCATGACACTGCGTTGCCGACGGAGACCTCGAGTGTGGAACCAAGTGGATAGAATGACATAGTGCTTTTAATCGGTGCTAAAAATTTGCACAATTTCGATCATTACTCCAGGAGAACGTTTTAGCCATCAGTTGGTTCATATAAGGTCCCTGTTTAACCCCTCAGGAACTCACTGTGGTTGGCCCTAGAACAGCTATTACCATTATTTCGTATCATCCCATCAATCATTATAATACTTGAGTGTTTAATGTATCGATAAATGATAAAAAGATCATTGGGTTCGAAAATAGGCCCTGTGTGTGAGATAAGACCTGAAACCTAGATGATGCTTACAGAGTTGGTAGGGAGTCATCAGAAGTTTGCTAATCGAAAGGCAAATTTCTTGACATGAACTATCAGGAACTGATTATTACCATTCAGGAAATTTCGGGCTAGTGGTGGGGGAATATGATGAAGGAAACAAATGCAGATTAGTCGTTTTCATAATTACTTTTAAGCAAATGATTCCTTTTTTATTCAGCTTTCCTGAGAATACTTTAAAGATAATACCGCATGGAAATGTCAAATTAGCCACACTGTCGATATCGGAACCACTCATCCATGGACTTTAACAGCCAATAAGACGTTGCGCAAAAAAAAGTCATTGGCATCTTAAGGAAATGACGTCATCGAAGGCTGTTTCGAGTAAAAAGTGTCATGACTATTTGCATCCGTTTGCTCAATACAACGTAAGCCCTAATCGGAAAATCAGCTAACACTTGACTGGCACCTTGGGTGTCAAGCACGTCGGCATCTCAACAAAACAGTGCTGGGGTTAATTTTAAGCGTAAAGTTGTGCATTAAGAGATGTTCTAGGGGTGGCATTCCTTGAGAAACGATTGCCTTGTTTGCGTGTACTTAAATTTGTTAGGTGAATTCAGATTGGATTTTACAGAGCAGATAACATTGACTACTCATGGAACCAACGTCAGAACAGCCTGAGCAAACCGTGAAGAATGAGTTACTGTGAAACTCCCGAACACCTGGGGAGGAGAAAGCGAAGATGAGTCAGAAGCCATCTGCAGTTTACCCGAATTATCTGTGAATTTACTCACCTACCGTTTACAGTGGTCATTTTTTCCTTTACACGCACTAAGATAGTTCACATTGAGCGTCCTCTCTTGTGGATAGAACAACTAAGCGACAAATATTAGGTTGGTTCTTTTTTATACATTTAACCGTTATTCAAATCAACCAACAGTTCATTGAGTCCAGACGTTTCCTTGTTCCTTGGTTGCCACTTCAATATCAACTAGTTTTAAAGTGTGAATCGGTGAAAAACAAAATTGGACTCCTGGCGTAAAAGAGGATGACCTGGATCAGGGTCATGGTAGCTTGGAAAATGAAACTTGGCCCCTGTTTCTACATCTGTGCTAATTTTCGTCCAGTTTCTCTAGTCTGCTGGTTTCCTGGTGCCTGACGTAACTGTTGCTCACATGATGTGATAGCGTAGTATTACTGAAATGGCAAAGTTTAGCTAATTAAACAAGTACCTACCTTAACGGATGACAGTACATCCAAGCCTCGGCTGTTCCGTTGCAACAGCAACACCTCATACAAACCTGTAACTAAATGACAAGCATCTGGAACCTGCTTCACCGAGTGGAGTTCTGCTCTTAACGAATATACTATTACCAAAAATTTCCACATCTAAATATGAAGACTTTTTTTCAGTTTTGTACAAAAAATTAAATTTTTAATATCAGTTCGCCAAAAAAAATTCCTGCTCAAAGCCAAGGATTTCGATATGTTGGTGAAAATTCCATCAAATCGTGAAACGATCACGGAAAACTAAATGCCTTGAACCAACTCGAAAGTACTCTGGAATGATTATTTACAAATTCACTGTAGTCACCAGAAGAGTTGTTGAAATTTCCAAGCCAGATTCATTTGAATGGTAACAGTTATGTGCTTTTTTCAAGTACTAACATGCCGGATTAGGTGACGATTTATGGAGGCATGGATCTATTGACTAATAATGGTCACTCAGTTTCACAAGCATTATACCACGCCAAGTAGTGTGGTGTAGAAGGCACTTTGTGTTGTCAAGTGGACAACTTAAAAGCGAGTATAGTCGCTAGGAAGGAATGCATTGAAATGGCAGACAAAATCGGATTGGCAAAATTAGTGTTGGGTGAAGGAGGGGGTAATATTTCTAACTGTTTGCACCGGCCAGTTGATGCTGCCGTTGGGCGTCTGATCTGGTAAATTTTCGAACTGGTATTTGTGACATGACTAGAAAACTTGCAAACTCGTTTAATATCAAACCCGGTTTGTCCTCACAAATGTACCAAGTTGAATAATTTTGCAGAGGAAATCCATATTTAAAAACCGGTCTAATTTCCTTTAGTACTGATATAATTGTTTTTATTCAGTCGACATCCACATCACACATTAAGGACACACGATTTAGTCCTTCCAGATTACAGCTGCCGCTGTGATTTCTGGGTTTCCTCTACACCTGAAAACGGTTGGTTAGTTTTATTTTGCGACTGTGCGCTCAATAATGTGACTAGATATCAACCCAAACGAAAAGAACCATTTTGTTATGCTTAATCTCGGTCAGCAAACACCAAGAGATCTGTATTTAAACGTAAATAACTGCACTGCCTTTTGTAGAGTAATAATCCTATGCCTTAACAGTTGTTCAAACCGAAATCTTGTGCACTTGGATTCCTAATTAAGTAGAAATGCAAATTTCAATAAGGATTTAGAAGGGGGACTTTTGAAAATTTGGTGCCCTGAAGTGAAAGATAATCGAGTTACAAATTCTACACTCGGCTGCTTTATGAATGATTCTTCTGCAGCCCTATTAAACCACTCTTGTTCGCTTGTTAGTACTAATTCGGATCTATTTCTTTTAAAAATGACTTCTTTGCCCGACTTGATTGGTTGTAGCGAAAAGCAGAATCCATACACATCCTCATAGCTGTTTGTTCGCACTCACTAGGATAGATGCCACAATACCGGACTTACCTTAACGTGTTTTAAGCCAATCATCAGACTGATTACGCGTCTCCCCCTCTCCCCTTTTAGCGCCCTCTGCGGGAGAGCGAAATAACCAGTTAGGTATAAGCGCGCACTACAAGGAACGCACATGTGCGCACGCGCAACCTCGCATTTTCATTGGGTGACAGTTAATTTAACACTCGCACGAGCCTACACGTTACCAGCAGCACCTTAATTCCTTTCTGTGTCCGTCTGTGCTTTTCAAACGCGCACACTCTTCGTGTTCATTTCCACTCCCACCCAGTGTACACATAACACCACGACCTTAATTCAAGTTACCAATACAACTGCGGCATAAATTGACAGAAAAGGACAGATGGAGGCGGTGGAAAGATCATCACTTCTCTTTAGAGCAGCAGGTCTGTTGAACACTACGCCTCCTGCCACCAAATCAGAGTCCATGGATGACCAGTATTCATTGGAAGTGGAGCCACATTCAACACCCCTTTCACCAAACAGGCGTCGAAGACCAGCCGAATCATGCTCTGATGGTCCACTTGCTGAGGCAAAAGTGCTAAAATGTGGAAACCATGGGAATGAAGACAGGAGCCTTGAATTTAACTCACCAGAGGATATGGCCGGCAAATCCTTCCCCTACTGCCCACCCGAGTTGAGCCAAGCGATATTTTCCAACATCCTCGCTGCCCTTACGTCCGGCGGATTCATTAATCCGTTCACTTGTCCATTCACTGATACCATTCCTCAATCACCCATTCCGAATGGAGGCCCACCCCAGGCGAAAAATTTGTGTTCGTCGAAACCAAAGACCTCTCACGCTATCCGTGATATCCTGGGGGTGGGGGAAACAACGAATAACCATGAGGAAAAAACCAAGGAACCGCCTAAAGCTTCCTTCGGATCCCTCCCACAGCGGATTCCTGCCGTTTTCTCATTTGATGATAAGAAATGCGAGTCTAGAAAGACTCCTCCATCATACCCCATGATGAACTGGCCATCCCAACATCCCTGTCTTGGTCTTCCACCACAAGAGTCGTCTCCTGACTTCGCGACAGCACTCAGACAATTGGGAGGCCCTGGCTACCATCCCACCGGGAGTCCTTCTACCTTCTCTAATGAACCTGAGTTACGGCGATCACCAACGGGCTCGAATTACTTCCCACAGAAATTCGGAATGCCTCATTTCGGCATGCCTGGACCTACTTCTCCAAACTCCAACTACCTGTGGATGCGCCACCCTAGTGAGTCAAAACTAAACTGTCAATTTTCGCTTTTGCCGCATAACAACTTTTCCATCTAAATAGCAGCACTTCTGTGTCCTTAGGGGAGAGGTCGACATGCTAGGACGTGTAGAAATTGGTCACCGCGGTGTTAAGTGAATCCTGTTATTGTGTCAGCCTTTTTATGGACAAGGAGAGTAATTTGGCGGGGTGGTTCTTGATTTTTTTCTGCTGACGCCTTAAATTGACCTTAAACATGTTAAATCTGCTCGTCGATGGTGAAGGGCACCACAATGTCCCGCTTTTTCGAACTGAGTCGACTGGTACAGGATATTACCACCGATTCATGTGCTGAGCCCATGTAGTATGCACTTCTGGAAGACAGTAAATCGTTGAGGAAAGCCATCGTGGTCTAAGCTTTGCCCTTCCAACCAGCAACTCATATCTCACTAGTCGACCCCACCTCAATTAAATTTGATGGGAAAGGTTGCTAAGCCCCGTGACCCTTATAATGGGTGGCACTTTATACCACTGCGTGAACAGCTGTTGGGGCGATAAAATCCCCACAAGAAATGTTGCGAAGACAGGCGATAGCATAAGGGGACACATAAATAGCTGACCTATTCGTCCTGGTAATTTTGCCTCTCATGTCGCGTAGATTCAGCACTCGGAGAAGTCATAAATGCACACCAGCGGTGTCTTACCTAGGTTAAGTGAGATCTCTCGTGCCAATATGGTGATATATTCTAGGAAAACAAGGCTATTTTTCGGTAGTATCTCTTCGTGTCACGTGTAACTACTTGGTCTCTGCCAAATTAAAGTGCCTTGGACTTTAACCAATAAAAAATTGCCACCGCGCAAATTTTATGTCAGGGACATTCAATTCATGTAATTTTGAGGTTATTAGCTTTGGAGGCTGTTGGAGAAGCCAGCTATCCCTTAGAAAAATTATTTCGTGACACAGATACCTATGAGTTTTACTCACTCACCTCTGTTCACATGATCACGCTGTTGTCAACATCTCAGCGATAACACACCAGGCCAATGTTTACACTAAAACCACTTCACACAGCCCTAATTACTCACTCAACTCACTGGGCTATTATTGCCCGGAAAATTTACAATCGATGCATTCTGTCATTGTTCATGGATCATTTATCCTCTGAAAGGGTGGTGAATTCACTCTTGTACACTTTATTCGAGCACTCAAAGTTTGTGCGTGTAGTACGCTACCAGTAACCGTGATAGACACACCTAAGCACACTGGGAACTAGTTTTCTAAGTCCGACTCCAACGAGGTCAGACTAAGTCCACCACCCAGTGGGGCAAGTTCTTCTGGTCCACCTGAATTCACGATGACGGTTGGACATCTGTACACAGAACCACCATTAATTACTTCCCAAAAACCGCCTGTTGCTTGGTTTAAGCCATTAAGAACAATACTTTTCACCCTATTTAATAACTCCCAGTCTTTGAAAAAAAGGTATTCCTATCGCCAAGCCAATAATGCAGCATTTTGACAAAACCTGTGTGAGAGTTCACAGCGCAGTTATCGAGAGTCACGGACACGGCTGATTAGCGTGCGTACTTGGGACTGCTATTCGAATGCTGAAGGGACTCAGTTTAATCGGCGTAGAAGCTATTGTCCTGACATTCTATTGCCTGAGAACGCATTAAAACTCGATCAAAGTGTTAACTAGACTATCCTTTCCAGGTGAACACCTGAGCCAAATGGACAAAGACGGAAAGCGGAAGCACACGCGACCGACGTTTTCCGGCCAGCAGATTTTTGCGTTAGAGAAGACCTTTGAACAGACGAAGTACCTTGCAGGACCCGAGCGAGCCCGCCTTGCCTACCTTCTGGGCATGTCTGAGAGCCAGGTCAAGGTGAGTTACTGCGACACTGCGCACTTAAACGTCTTTGCATTTCATCTGACACGTCGATAGAATGGGTGTCAGGGGGAGGAGAACTGAGTGTTTAGGAAGACATGGCAGTGATAGGTGGATGTGGGTCCAACAAATTTAAATTTATTAAAACATAGTCCATCAAGCAAGTAGGAGAAGCCGATTCTCTTTGTCTTCCAATCAGCAAATCAAGGTTCGTAGGTTGGGGCCTTATCGAAATCAATCTCGCATTAATATTGCCCGCTTTTCTGTCGTCGAATAAACAGAACCCAGCTGTCGAAGCACTTTCTTTAATTAAAATTTTCTCCGGTTGGCTTCACTTCCTAATTACTACCCTGTGAGGAGACAATTTTTTGTGATTACATCCTCCCACGAGCCCATATGGTTCCCATTGCGTGCCACTGCACAGATGGGCATCCCTTGCGTCCCCTGTCCTGTGGGGGCGAGACGGGAAGCTCCCGATTTGGAAGGAATCACCTGACGTTTTTTCGCGACGTACCAACCCCCATTATTAAGCACGGGTCGCCCACCCCTAGAATTGAGTTCGAATCCGCACTGCGGTTACTTGGGGACATATGGTAGCACTTTCCCACCTTCCGGAGTTCGTGAATATTGAACAGACGGTTATGCTTTATCACGGTGTCATCACACCGCGAAATGACACCCATTTGCGGAACAAGGGGTCGCAGGAAGATTAATATGGCGCGTGAACCACACTGTAACTGCTTCAAAATTACTGACAGCTCTGTCCAACAGTTCCTTCCCTTATCAGATGGTCTCCTCTAATTAGTGAACAAAGCATTGATAGCTAGGAAAACCATTCAAATGAGGTGTCTGATCATCTGGACATCAACAGTCTCACCAAACGAACTCAGGGTTTCTGTTTTGCATCAAACTACCTATTTAAAAAGTGGAAAATTGTCAATTCCATTAAGTGGCTGTGCAAGCCAGTAATTTCGAAGAAACTGATGTACAAAAATCAATAAATAAATTAGCCAATCCCCCATTTTTAACTGGGAACTAAGTTTCATCAGGCTTAATTTTAAACACGCAAAGGCAACTGTTTCCTGAATCTTTCAACATGTATTTTGGCTAAACAAAATCCCACCTGCCTGGCCAAACCCAAGATCTCACGAAACAACTGCCATTGTGATTGCTATAGTACTTGGACTGTCGTCCGCTTAGTTTTCATTGTCGGGCTGGTTAATAGTTGCAGAACAAAATGCATTTGTCCTTGCGGCAGGCATTCGTGTGGATCTGGATGCCTGACCCTCCCTGCTTATTTACATCTCAGCCCTCTCATTCCCGTGGGAGACAGCAAATTACTGACTTGTCATTTTTTTCCTCTTAATGTTCGTGTTTTCTCTAATTATTTTTAAGTTGCAATTAAGCACTTAAACTGGTTGCTCCACCGGAACGCAACAGCTGTTCCGTAGCCATCACCATTTAATGTGTGCTGAATGTGTACATTCAATTTAATAAGCAGCTCGTAATTTACTAGAATCAAGGACCAGCGCCTCAGCAACTGACACCAAAAGCCATATTGACACAAGTAAACGAAGTCTACATGCTTGGACAACGGAATTTGTATGCAGCACATAAGTGAATTAGAGAAGTCGAATAATTAGGGCGGTTAGGTGCATCTGGCTGCTTCACGATGCTTAACCGCTTCCAGTCCTGAGACTTTGCACCGAAGGGTATCACAAAATAAAACTGATTGTTAATTCTTCATCCTTAGTCAATATTACAGCCTCAAGTTTTCGAAAGGGTGGCGGTTTATTCGCTTTTGTGTTTTATTTTGCAACAAAGTGGAAAAATTGAAAAAAAAAGAGTGATCACTCCGAGCTGTTCAATAATTCATGCCTTCGATAAAAGTACACCAAACCTCTGAAATACTTGACGATTAAAAACAATAAACACATTACTGGCTGCTTGTTCACGTTCTTCAAATAATCGTCGAAAATTAACGGCGGAGGACCATTGGAGTTAGGTTTCAGTGCGTCGCATTTTATTGGATAAAATGAGGTTTCAAGTTTAGTGAAGGTGATGACACTGGATCATACGTGGTTAGACTAGCCACTGGTCATGCTCGTCTGCGTTCAACTAAACCGGCAAAAAATATGGACTTTAAAGAACTCCCTTAAAGTTAGGTTAAAATCGAGGATGATTTAAACAAAGTTTGGCTTGGTGTGCTTAACCTGAGGTGGACTGGATTTGCTTGAATTGCCCTGATGTCATATACCTAGTTCGGATATTTTGTAGAGGTTTGGGGCTCGTGGAATAGATTTACCTTAAAATCTATTGTCCACTCTAAAAGCAGCAAACACAATATGGATTTACGCCAAAGAGTTAAGTGCCCAACAGACCCGATCTCACTCGAACCACTTGCCAGTTCCTTTCCCAGACTCCGTGTACTTGAACGTTTCTTCGCGTTTTTTTCTCAATGTGCACACGAGTTGACTCCGCGCCTTGTTGACACTCTCGTGCCCCAACTGCGGTATTCTAGTCTCCCCCGAGTTGGTCGCTGAAAGACGCGTGCGCGCGCGCGCAGCAGGAGAAGCGACTGGAGGGAGAGACGGCTAACCGCAGCGACACGGGGGAGGGTTAGGAAGTCGGCGGCCAAGATGAATTAAACATGACTTTTCACAAAGGGGCGACATACATATCCAAAAAAATTAGTGTGCCAATAGATGACCTGCTTGGAATAATGAAGTTAAGGGAATAAAATTACATTGAGGAAAGGTGTTAGTGATTTTTTTAAAATAACACACCAGCGATCGGGAAGTTACTGACACCCTATTATCATATTCTTTCGAAGAAATCTCCTGCACTTACCAATATTTGAATGCTACTAATCACTGCGGCTGGCGCGAAACCCATTTTGCCAAAAAATCTCCCTTGGCTACTTTGTGAGCCCCCCTCACTGTCTGACACTTTTGTGACTAAATCTCATGGGATTGTAAATTTACTTCATGTCATACTGATGTTTCAGCACATATGGGCCCCAGAATTTTCGGTGACTTCACGATAAACCAGGCAACAGACAAATGATTAGAGCCTCATGTAGCTTACTTGGTACGTGGTCCTCATTTGTATCGGCCTACCAAACCCCTGTGGTAAACCAGTTACCTCTCCTGTCAAAAATGACAAACAGAACTCATTTGGATAAACTTTTATTAGTGTGGATCTAGAAGCGGCCATAAAAAGACATGTGGACCCCCCCATTTGGTTTTACACCACGCCGGAGAGACTGAATTAGATCTGGCTCGATTACGCTTTCCTCTTACCCGTGATGAGGAAGAAGACCGGAGAGGGCATGGACACATCCGTTTATTTCAGAGCTCAACCAAGTTGGTGCCATTGTGTCGTGTGTGGCGTTTGCGTGTGAGTATTTATACCTCAGATGTGTGAGTCACAGATGTGCTAACATTGAGACCTATGTGTGAGGATAATCTAAGATAAATGTTCATGCGAATGAGGATGAGTTGAGGATCTGGGCGGCTGGCGACATGCTGCGAAAATGGGGACCCTGTGTTGGTGGCTGGAGTGACCGGATTAATGAGTGTAGTTCACGACACTTTACAGGTGGATAATTGAAAGACGCAACTGTCCAATCCGATGTCCAGATGAGTACTTAAAAGGTTACCGTAGAAACAATATTTATCGAAGTAGACCTTTAATTTTCACACATTATGCGCTTAACAACACCTATTTTGACCACTATTATAATCTCGACACTAGATCTGCTGTTAAAACAGCCATTTTCGTTTTATGAAGACCGGAGTTGCTAGGTTTTTCGTTTCTTGTCTTCTCTAAAGGTGTCACTATAGTAGTGAAAACTACTCAAAATTCCTGTCTTTGACTATTCGAGACTTATTTAGAGTTTGTTCGAGGCGTTGGTGAAATTCAGGAGCTAAAAATCAGGTTTCCACCCTCTGCCCGCCACCACCACAGATGTTAAAGTCCAATGTCTCCGACTGCTCATCGCATGATTAGTGAGACACCATTACTACCACTGCCTCGCGCAGAGTAACAAAGCCAGGCCCGTTGCCTTGGTAACATAGACCTGTGATTTTGAGTAAATAAGGTCAGTGTAAACACGCAAACATACATCTACTAAAAATAATGTAATTGCATTAGTTGAGTTCTGATTAAGGACATACCAGCATCACTGGTGGGTGCTTAAATGTTGACGCCTTCAGACCGTCATGGTGAGGTAATGCTGGTTATCTGTGCGTAGCTGTCAGACCCGCGTCATTAACCACGTATTATTCGAAGTTTAATTAGTTCTTAGTCTAAATAGTCGAGAAGTTCTGCAACCACCTCAACTCGCTTCAACTTTGGAAGCTATATCAACTCAGTTTCTACTTTAAAGGGCTCAAGTGTTTCGACTCAGGTTTTATAATTGTGACCTGAGTACCATGCTAAACTAGCGTGATACCTAAAGAGGGCTGTTTGCATTTGCGTACGTGGAATTCACGTTTTCGAGGGATTTGCAGGGGAAATACACTGATCCCTTTTAAAACTTCAATTAAAGCCCTTGAAAAGACGTTTTGGTCTAACACGATAACTTGTGCTTTCAAAGAACTGGCAATGTCTAATGCATTTGGTCGTCATTTGGTGAGAAAGGACCGAGATGTGAGGCTGTTTAAGAGCTAGTAGAAGTGAGGCGTCCCCTGTGGTCATAGATTTCACAAGCATGCCTCAACAGAAATGTGTTTCGTTGGTTGCGCATTAAAAGCTCGTTGTCACTATTCGCTTTCACACAGAAAAAACATAATAACGTGTGAATTTTGTGTACTTCAGAAAAACTTGACACGATTCTCATGAATAAGGCTGGCTCAGCACCATGGGACTTCGGGTTTGAGTTCCCATGAATTGTTTTAACAGCCAAACACATTAACTACTTCGCCATATCAAACAAGACGGTAAATGTTTTGCATTTTCAGTCCCTGTTATCATGTTCTGGGATCTCGATGCACCACCTTAGATGGGAGAGGAATAAGGGGAGGTAGCCACTCATAGCAGTGATTGTCATTCAATTCTGGGTATTTGTAATGTTTGAGAGGGCACTCCGTTTCCTTTCCCCTATGCTAATCGCGCTTGATATCCTCCCTCTCCTCCATCTACCACCTCCTCTATGAATTAGTAATTGTTAGACAGGACTCCAGTGGTGTCACCTGAGGGGGAGGTCTTGTCTTGTGCATTCAACAGTGTGGTTTGCGGTGGTGGTGATGGTGAGATGGCATGGAATGAATCAGGGAGGTGGTACCATCCCATAACTAATTCATACCCATTTTCTCCGTGAAAACACTTATAGTGGGTACAGGTATTGCGTTATTGGGGAAAAACAGCACTTATGTATTCCGGCTAAATTTATATTTCATGTGCATACGGTGTTGCAATAAGTGGGCGCGATACTTTTTACCCTCACTCTACGCACATCACTATTAACGGGACTTTGTAGTACACAGAGGCGGACTGCATTTGTCTCACAAAAACAACCCCAATTTTGTCGATCCAAACGAGCGCACAACAGCTGTCCTCTCGGTGGGGCAATTATAAAAGCTTGATAAACGAAAAAAAATACCCAGCCAGTTAATGCCCCATTTAAATTCAAGGTAGGTTGAGGGTGGTGGGCCCGAACAATGATAGATGGCCCCAGGAATCAGTGGCTCTTGTCCAAAAATATGCCATTTAAAACGGAACGGTTTATCATTAACATAAACGACTTCAGTCTGAAATATTCGTGATCTTTGCTTGTGTCTATGGATGTCTGCGTCAGCTAATAATGCCAATATAAATGCAAGTGGTTTAAGGTTGGGGAAATCTTCAATTGTTTTTCAAAGCCTGTAAAAAGACAGAGGGGTATCTTAATGCGAAAAACAATCGTTTTGTTTTAAGTCAGTGACGAGGTTTCCTAATTGGCCCATTGACCGGAGCTGGAAAGCAAATTGGTTTAACCACGAATGGTAAAACTTGCTCTTCAGTGTATCCACTGTCGCCGTGGAGTTTAAACGTCAACTTCCGGTAAAAAGATTTGTAGTAGGTAAGCTCATAGCTAAATTTATTAGTTTTAATGGTCCCCAACCATCAAACTGATGTAAAATGAGTGTAAATGTAGAGACACGGAGGTGAAACCCTCCATTTATTGCAGTAGCAGAATAAAACCTACCATTTTCTAATTTTTAATACATTTAATGATTCCTGGATACTCTCATTGAGACCATTGAACTATGCATGACATCAGTCGTCTAGGTATTGAGTATGGTGGCTTCATAACTGATCTAAATGTTTGCAACTCTGATTTCGCTTAGCCGATATTGGTGATAAGTAAGTCGCATTAAATCGGGCGCATCACTTCATCAGATCAAACTATTACATTTTAACTGGATCATGCGATTTTGACAAGTACCGATCAGGTCGTGTACATGGAAAGGCCACGTTGCGTTTGGAGGTCACGTATCTCATCAAAGATAAAGCGAATTTCCATGAAAAGGACCTGACAATAGCACAAGGTCGGGTCCAAATAATACGGGAAAATTTTCCAAGAAGGTGTCCCTCAGCGAGAACTGCGTCCGTGAAGGACTGAAAATCAATTGTGGTATGGTATGGATTGCATTAGTAACGCAGAAATAACAATTGCGTCAATGGGAAATAGAGGGCAAAGTTTTGGGTTGTAAATTTTTATTAAAAAGCGTTTTGAGCTCTATGAGTCACACCTGATACGCAAATAAATTGGTTCGAAAATTCATCCTGAGTACGAATTCTACATAAATCGAGCGAATGAGAAGGAATTCATTTTGTCATTTTATTTATTAGACCTCGTACATTTCCATATGCTGAAGAATTTGGCCCAACAAACCCCAATATGGGGACGATGTTTACGAAAGTATTAGGAATTAATATTGCTTATTATTTATTTAAACAGTTTTTAATGTTTAATATTCAGATTGTATTAATGCTCTTTGGTACCATTGGCTTTGAGTGGCACCAGGATTTCGTCAAATTTTCCCCTGAATTTTGCCTAAGCGGCTTTATCTTTGGGAGTACATCTTGTCCATAATGTATATTTTTGCAATTAAGAAGGAAAAGGAGGAGTATAGGGCCGAATACTTGACCCGAGTCTTCCGTGTCAGACATTTGAGGCCGGCTTTTTTTGTTGATGTACTTAGAGTAGTCAAAGTGGAGACTATGTTCGAGGGAGCCTGATAGGATGTCAAGGTTACTACTTAACAACTTATTTGCGTTATTTATTTCAGGTGTGGTTTCAGAACCGTAGGACAAAATGGCGAAAAAGAAGTGCCGCTGATATGGCGAGCATAAAGTCAGGTGCAACCAATCAACCTCTGACCTTTGTTGGCGGCTCAAACACCAAGCTGCCAGTTACTAACGAACACACATCGCCCAGATCCGAGTCCCGAAACATCCACTCACCGACAGAGGACGCTCCCAACGGTCCAGTGGAGTCGTGCGAAGAAACAAAGGATGTTCCCACTCCCCTTCCCACAGCTATCCCTCCCCATCTGGCTAGCGCCTTCTTAGCAGCTACAAGCTCAATCCAGAGTCTTCCGTTCCCCTTCGCCATGATGCCTCCGACCGTTGGGCCACCTCCGAGGGGAGACCTGGATGATCCATTGCGGTCACGCATCTGCGGTAGCAGCAGTGCAGCCGATAAGTTGTTGAACCCCCTCCTGTTCCAGCCACCCACGAGAACCGAAAAACCATAGAAAACTAGCGTGGAAACATACATATCCGCAACTTGAATGTGAGACGCATTTAACACAAAAAGAAGTAACATGTCTGAAGTATCCACAGGCTTTCATTCATCCTGATAATTTGATGCACACTTACGCGTATTACCCTATTGTAAAACAACGTTTCATTCCATCACATGAGTAATAAATTTGCTGATAATTGATCGGTAATGTTTTCGAAAAATGCGTAGGATCATGGAAGTTATAAAACAGGCGCCAAACCTCATTGATGGGAAGTACAGTTAAAAGAGGTTAAATTAAGCTAATTATTTTTGAACCGTTGAAGCTAGTGAACCAGTAATTTTGATCGACATAATCTTTGCGTTTATTAAATAAACTTGACCATTAGGTTCTTACAGATTTACATGAGGAAAGAAACAGGTGATGCTTTCGACGTAATAAAGAAGCCATTTTTAGTGTTCGATTTCACTTCACACATCGAGTGGAACCAACTGTTATGCTGCTGTAGGAATGTATGCATGTCTATACAGTTAGTCTTAAAAAACAATTTAATTATCTAGAGATTCCATGTAAAGCGTAGGACATGATATAGCATTCTGAGTATAAAGCCGAAGTCAGGATTGCCTTTCAAGTTAAGTCCATATTCAGAGAAAAAATATTTAATCAAATTCTACACAAAGAAACTCGTCGAGCTGCACCTAAACCTGCAGCCTACGGCTAGTACCGTGAAAGGTTGCCTTTGACAAGGTCGAAACCACGACGCTCAAGCCTAAATTGGGTGTATTTTCCATTGTTATTCTGTACGTCTTCTTGCCTTTCTCACCGTTAACATCAAAACAAACTGCCATACAGGTGGGTGCGTAAATCATGATTTGCGTGTTAATAAAATAATGTTTTGTGGAGGAAAATAATGAGGTCTTTTCACTCAACTAAACGCATTCAAAGTGATTTTGTGTTAGATTTGACCTTCAGTAGACTAGGTTAGAATCGTAATGATGCTTCTTCCTTGATACTTAGCCAGCCAAAATGGTAAACTTAAAAAGACGATGAAAAAAGGGGCAGTAGCATTGTTAGATGATGAAACGTTTCAAAAACCAACGCTTTATTAACTTCTAGTCATTCCGATTGGCCATATTTTCGGTTTATAACGACGTGAGAGGGGCAGTAGTTAATTTAACGACGAGAAAGTTGACTTTAGTTGCCAATTTAGCCAACATGGACTGCAAATGAGTAATTATGACCACGCCATCATAATCAGTGTCCCGAATAGTAAAGGTATAAGTGCGACAAGAAGAGAAGAAAGTGACCAATCAACGGATTCGCAGCAGGCGCTGCAGTCAACTGCAACAAACGACAACAATAAGAGATGTAAAGACCAAATTTAAAGCTTTTGGTGATCATGGTTATTAATTGCTGAAATATTGAATCAATTGTCAGTTAAGGCGTTTGGTTTAAATAGGCTACAAGGGGATATAGAGGTTATATCTCAAAGAATTACTTAAGGCAAAATAATAGACCGATTATCAGTGTTAAATTCCATCCAAACTCTGGAAGTTCAAGCTTCTCTATCTTCCATTCGGTAAGTATAAATAACGCGACTTTGTGAATGTGTTCAATATTTAGGAACCACTGTTGCTAACCGAAAACTTATGAATTGAAGTGAAAACTACACCTGCGTTGAAATACACTAATGATACTGGTGTGAAGCCTCTACTGCGTCGCAGGCTTCAGGAACGCAGAGACCTGACTATATTCCAAGACTACGATCGGTGTTTCCATCTTCATTGTCATAAACACGAAGGAACTCGTTATCTCACTGAGAAGGAGATGTATATTAACAAATAAATAAAATTCAAATTGTGTGTTTAAACCCACTGCAAAACACACTCAAGACATTGGCCATCAGTCGGAGCTGCAAGGCCCCTCGGAAAATCCGGTTATGTGGATGTTTGGTTCAACTACTTAGAGAGGATGTTGGTGATTTCATCGGTAACGTGACTTTATTACAGGAAGGGAAAAATAACGATGAAACCTAACCACAACGATGAGGCATTTTGTGGAGAGTAAAAATTCAAGCTTCCCTGTTTTCCAAACAGCCAGGTTGACCACTTTAGGGGTTTGCTAAAATTCAAACATCGTTACACAAACGGATCATAAACTTCCATAAGATGAAAGGCAGTCAGATACCAAGGTACACTTTCTCCATTGCATGCGTGCCTTCAGTGCGATCTCTGGAATACGGAACGACATCCGCAGAAATTCGAAGTCGCAAAAAGGATAGAATGCGAGAAACATTTTGGAGGTCTTCAGGGCTACTTGTATTTTTATTCTGAGTTAAACTTCGAGGCTAGTTAGAGAGCCACGAAGTTGGAAAACACAGGAAGTGTCTACTGAGTACTTGAGTATAATCGTAATCAAAATCGCGTCCACCGAGACATTGGTCTCCTTTAGTTGGATTACTTCGCCAGATTAATCCAAAGCCCCCCGGTTGCTGTTTGATGGCTCAGAGTCATCCCGAGCTACTTTTGCTGCTCAAGGCTGTGACATCTCTGACATTTCTCTGGTCCGTTATTCCAAAATAACGACCTGGTCGTTCAAGTCAGAAATGTGAAAATGAAGCAGCAAATGAAACGGGTGCATTTCGTGGGCAGCGCATGACAAGGAGCTGACCATCACAAAAAAGACAATGGATTTCAAGGTTTGCAAATATTATGTAGATTTAAATGACGAGGTCAAGCGCATCCAGGATTCTGAGGCGGCTGATAGGCCGGGGCTACAGAGAACCTAGACAATTTGACGTGCAAAGTTTTTGCAAGCTAAAATTCTTTAAGAAATCACTGGTTTACCCTTTGAAGTTTGGAATTCTTCCTTGGCTTCTGACGGCCTCCAGACGATGAATGGTATTGCAGAAGCTCGACCATAAAGTTAAGCTTGCAAGGATCTTGCTACTACTGTTTGTAGCCCAGTATCGATTTATGCATCCACACTGATCGTCTTGCCTATACTCGAGATAACCAGCTCAATTACAACTTTACTTCAACAGAAAAACATAAAAGTGGCTTTCGTTGACGACGGCGCAATTACCACATTCAAATGCTGATGTATTTCAGTGATTCTATCATTCAATTCACTACAAATGAGTCGTGATTCTTCTTCGAAACCCAGAAGAACTCTACACAAATGGGTAATTTCTGACTTTCCCAATTACTTGCTAGGATGTTTGATTGATTTAAGATAAGAAATTGAAATCTACAGTATTTTAGAACTCAACGATGGATTATTTTGGCTATGCCATGCATCTGTTTCTCGTCTAATATAAGTGAACGATCCCTTAGCTGGAGTCCTCTGTGAATTCCTGCAACTTTATTCGCACCCTTGACACGCGGGGCATTTCGGAGACATGTCCCACAGTCTTTATGGCGTGTTATAAATTAATGCATTGTAAGTGTGCGAATTCTTTCACTGAATAGTGTGGGAATTTCCTTTGTCGAGACGTCGCGATTTAGAGGCTGCGCAAAAGGACATTTGAGTCATCAATTGCAAATTAAAACAAAACTTCCAGCCCTCCCCCCGCCAATGCTATTTTAGCATCTCAATTTTGCCATTCAGGATTTGCTTAATAGCCTGTTTAGAAAAAAATTTACAGTAATGTCCCAGTTAAACTGTTACTTTCCCACTCAACAAGCAGAGCAATTTACAGTGAAACCAAGACAACCAGAATACCATTTTACAATAGATTGGATAAATAGGTGCACAAATCCCCGGCCATAAAAGTGGCTCGACACATTGGATTTTTCGGAAATTTTGGGATTAGATTATATTACCGTTTCGTTTTTTCATGACATCCTCAAATATTTCGATCAGCCAATTCAATCTTTAACGTCCAGTAATTAATCTAGATTTTGAAAGAGGCCTTGGGTATTTAGGGAATGGCACACTATAAGCAAAATGCCTCACCGCACCAGATGAATTTCTTTTCGAATTAATAAACATCATATTTTCTCTACACGCAGCGACGGACAAGTGATGTCTATAGCCTCCCCTCCCATAACAGCACGCCAACGTATTATTATAGGGGCCAAAACATCATTTGGTATGCATGTGCCTGTGGATATGTGTGCGCAGCAAAAAACGCCAGCTTGGAATCGATTATTATGGCCAATAACCCCACCAGAATAATGAGGTGGGGAAGGCGATAGAAGACGTTTTGCATAATTGCGAGACTGTAGACAGTTTTTATGTAAACGACCACATCACAGACACTTGACAGTCCCGGGTACTTGCACAAACACAGTCACCTCGTGAAGTAGATGAATAGAGCAGTTGGCTTACTCGATCATGTGATTTGTTGGCCTTAAACAATTACCTATTTTTTACCACATGAAGCATCGACATTACCAATGTCCGACAGGTCATAAGTTTAAAAGTTTCGTTTTGTACTAGACAAATTTGAGACACAAGTTTACGATCACGAACAGGACTCCAGATAAAGTGGAACTGAGTGCAAGTTCTGTCGAATAATCAAGACTGGCCGGTAAATTCACGCGTGTGGAAACCCGGTCATATTGGAGTAATAGGTTTTGTATGACAGCAATTATACTATGGATTAAACAAATTGCTTCAAGGGCTGTCACATGATAAATAGTTGATGTTTTAGTTATAGCAGACCCAGAAGATCGTTCACAAACAGTCGGAACCCTTTGATGATCTTTGTGAACACGATGAGGATGCTCACTGTACCCTTGGCTGCTGAACATTGTCTATGCTATTATTGGAGGATATTTATCTTTAAATGGAACTAGGGATCAATACCAAGGCTTCTAGTGCCAAAATTAGTTCAGTGTTCCTATCATGACTGGAAATATTTATTTTCGGAGATCATAACTCGGTTGGAAAGCCAGATACCCCTGCCATTTTCGAGGTATAAAGAGTTGGGGAAAATAAGACTGGCGTCTAGACAGGTTCGGGGCTTTCGTTAAAATGACATATGGTTTATACGGCTTATTTAAACG